AGGCATCTTCGGACCCAGTGCAATAACAGCACGAAACTCCGGCCACTGCCTCCGCAAACTCCTCTATCGTCTTCCCTGCAGCAACCTGCAGGACGTCCATGGTGACCACATCCACTACTGGGAATCAAATTTCCGATAACCTCGTCGTCGTCGTCGTCGTCATCGCCCAAGACCACCTCCGTCATATTAGCCACAACTTCGCGACGACGGCTACCACCCGTCCCACCCCCACTACCGATGAGACTACGTTCGACGTGCCGTCAACTACCACTGCCCCCACCGCCAGCAGTGGGAACTCGATCTCAACCTCTCGTCATTGTGATCGCACCTTCATCTCACGCAACGGCCTGGTCGGTTACTTGCAAATACACCGTACTGAGATCGCGAGCTAGTCCCAGGATCACCGACGTACACTCTTCGTACCCTCATCAACTGTTCACACCGCCCATGGACATCCAGTCATCGTATGGGCCTACTCGACTACATGCACATCCACGTCAACAAAATTCATCGCGATGTCCACAAGTCAAGCCAACGTCGCACATTCGACAACTCCTTCATAATTATCGTCATCATCATTGCTACTATCACTTACACAACAGCTACAAACTTAAGCTGCTCATACTGCCACCCCAAATGCACATCATGTATCGGTCTGGTGAATTACTTATTTGCTCATCATCTCCGTTTCAGAGAAGAGCTAGCTCAACTGCCAGTTCGCGTTCCAGTCGTTGCCACCGCTGACGAGAACGCCTTCTTGGAGAGTCGATAACAATCGTGCATCTATACAAGCGGAAAGGGAACCGCTAACTCTGCGGCAACCACCACGGAATTTCCCTGCTGGACATCGCTGGGAAGATCTCCTCTCGCACCTTTCTTAGTCGCCGAAACCAACATTTGGAACAAGGTCTCCTGCCGGAAAGCCAGTGCAGCTTCCGTCGTCATCGTGGAACCACCGTACGATCATCGCCGCCCCTCAACTTCAGGAGAGGTGTCAGGAGATGCGGGCCCATCTGTACTCTATCTTCGCGGATATGACGTAACTCTTCGACACGGTGAGTAGCGAAGGACTGCAGAAAATCATGCAGGAATTCGGTTGTCCTGAAAGATTCACCCAGATGGTGCTTCAGCTCCACGATGGCATGATGGCGTGAGACACGGACAGTGGAGTTGTCTCAGAGGCATTCGCAGTGACCAGCGGATTGAAGAAGGGCCGCATTCCCGCACCTAGCCTCCTCAGTCTCATGTGCTCTGCCATGCTGACGATCACCTACCCTGACGAACGTAAGAGAGCATGAACCTGTTTGTTGCCGCCTGTGGCAACTTCGGCCTGATCACCGACACGGAGAAGACGGTGGTTGTGCATGAACCGCCACTCGATGCTGCCTACTTCGCACTCCAAATCAATGTGAATGGAGCCCAACTGCAAGTCCTGAACAACATCACGTATCTGAGCATCACCCTCTCCTGCACCATAAAAATGGACGATGAAGTAGCCCTCCAGATCTCCAAAGCCAGTCAGGCCTTCGACCGTCTGCAAAGCAGTATGGAATCGTCACGGTCTCAACCTTAGCACCAAACTCATGATTTATAAAACAATCATCCTACCGACGTTGCTGTATGGAGCAGACACCTGGACGGTGTACATGAAGCAGGCGCAAAGACTCAGCCACTTCCACCTCAGCTGTCTTCGACAGCTACGGAAACCGAGGTGGCAGAATTGGATACCGGGCACGGATGTACAGGAGCAGACGGGAATCCTCAGCATCCACTGTATGCTGAGACAAACACAACTACGCTGGAGCGGCCACCTCGTAAAGATGGGCGACCAGAGACTACCCAAATGAATCTTCTGTGGAGATTCCGCGACGGATTCACACCGACAACTAGGTCAAATCAGACGCTAGAAGGATACTCTGTAAACCTCCCTGAATCGCCTGAAGATCAATCCGGCAACTGGGAAGACCTAGCTCGGGACCGACCTACGTGGATGAGAACAGTGAAGACAGGGGCAGCAATCTTCGAAGCCAACCACATCGTCGCCGCCGCCGCCGCCTCACAGCTCCAACGCTTAAACAGCCCCGACATACCCACGCTGCTAGCGAACATTCCGTACACCATTCAGCCTTGTAAGTCATCTTTGTACTAACCGCAGCACCCGGACTAGGCCGGCTGCAGTCTTCTCGTCCAGCTCTCCCTCATCGTCCACACCGACAACAAACATTGACCGCACATTTCAATCCCC